TGTTAGAGACTCTATGGAGCTACAAGCTGACGTAGCAGTCAGTCTACCAGATTATCAAGAATCAAAGATTATGAAACTACTTCAGGTACTTCAAAATGATGACTTGCTTAAATTCTCATGGTTAATGTGTGTGTGAGAGAGAACGAGAGCCGACATGCAGACTTATCTAATATTTTTCGAATTTGTCACTCTTGCAGACTCGTGTAAATTTCTGTTGATACTGGAATTTTGTTGTTTTAGGAATTCAACACTTGAAAAATTCCCAAAGCAACCGAGAAGCCTCGTGTAAAATCCGTGATAACAACATCGCGTACCGAAAATCTAAGCATGCTCGTGAATCTGACTTTGAATACTACGAGTGTAGATATTACAATGAGGTTAAAGATGATTCTCATAAACTTGAAATCTCCGACTCAACATTTAAGATTCAATTTGTTTCAACAAGGATTATTATTCTTTGAGCGAGCTTTTGACACATGCTTCAAAAATTGCTGGTTGTGGTGCTAAGACTATGAAAGAAACTTATATGAAAGAAATTGTTAAGTCCTGATTCTAAGAATCTAGAAAATAGGAACATGAAAGTTGGATTGTAAGATTTTAAGAATATAATATTTTTTTATAAGTAGTTCTAATTTACATAATATTAATTTTAGTTATTTAGTTTTGTAATGGTTGGTTAAAAATGGGTTGTAAAATTTTTTTAATGAATAATATTATTTTAATAATAATATTACTAAAAAAAAAATTTAAAATTTATTGTATTTTAAAATTCATTGATGAGATATTTAATTGAACCCTCTCTAGAAGGCATACAAAATATTTCAATTATGAATGAAAATAACTTAATAAAATAATTGTTTTCCTTCTCTTAAATACTAATTTTTGCTAATATGCATATAGATTTTCTAAAAATTTGTATTAAGAGAATCAAGTTTTTTAATAGATTTAATTTCATACAATTTAATTCATAAGGATGTAAATTTAAAAGGAAAGAAAACACTTAACAACAATGATCTATATATTTGCAATACTGTAAGATAGTGATGATGTATTTATTTGCAATACTGTTAGATAGTGATGATGTATGTATACATGATTCCCAGAAGTGAAATATCAATACTATAAAATAGCAAGATAGATAATAAACGACAAAGATTGATGTCGAACAATTCCTCTCCTGATCTACAGTTTAAAATTATTTATTCATGAAATGCATTATGTAGAAAGTGTGTCATTAACAGTGATATCTGGAGCAATATCAACATTAACATTACCCTCATCAACATCAACATCAACATCGCCCGGATTAACTTCAACAACAACAGCAACAGGAACATCACCCTCATCAACATCATCATCAACATCGCCCGGATTAACTTCAACAGCAACAGCAACAGGAACATCACCCTCATCAACATCATCATCAACATCGCCCGGATTAACTTCAACAACAACAGCAACAGGAACATCACCCTCATCAACATCAACACCAACATCGCCCGGATTAACTTCAACAACAGCAGCAACAGGAATATCACCAGCATCAACTGACACCTTTAAAGAGATAAGTAGAACCATAACCAAAAGGCCTGGGATGAAGATTATTGTTTTCTCTGATCCCATTTTAAATATTAAACCAGACAAATTGATACAGTTTCAGAATGTTGTGGTAAACGATGAGTAAACTAGTAAGAAAGTGTGAGATATATAATGAACGGATGGAGTGATCAATACGGAACCTGTATTTGATACTTAGTACAGTATTCATTAATTCAATTTTATATCTTAAAAAAGGGAAGTGAATAGTTTTTTTATTCATCTTGATATTCATTTTAATGGCCCTCCTATGTCCACGTGATATTTCATGCAGATATTCAGTTACATAATCCACGCACTATATATATAGAGTGGTACCGGTGGTCCAACCTAAAGCTTTGATGGAGTACATCTGTATATAATAGTTTAGGTTAAATTACACTTTTGGTCTTCTCTTTTAGTCTTTTCAAGATTTTAATTCTCTATTTTATTTTTAAAAAGTTTTGGTCCTCCATCTTAACTTTAATTCAAAAAACGCTTATGTGTATTTTTTTTCTTAATACGTGTCATATGTTTAAGGTCAAATCATTTATAAATAATTAAAACGAATTAATTTATTATTATAATATATTAATTTAAAAGAAAAGGGTAGAAAAATTGTTAGAGACTTATACTATAAAATAAGTTGTGTGTTATCACGTGACTCCCACGTCGCTAACACTAAAATTATGTCACAACTTTGTTTTTGTCACGTGAAGAAACACATCGTTGGAGAGCGCGTGACAATGTTGTTGCGACGTGGAAAATATATCACAACGTTGCCACGTGAAATTTACATCGTAACAAACTTTATGAGGTCAAAGGCAGTCAGAGCAGAGCAGAGGTCAGAGCAGGTTTTATATTCAATTTTACGTTGTATGTTGCGGCGTGTTTTTCATGTCACTAATTTGTGACGTGGAAAACACGTCGCAACTTTTTTTTAAAAAATTATTTTCTATTTTAAATATAATAATTCTGATTTAATAATTAATATTATTTTCTGTTTCATTAAATTTATAAATTAAATATTATAATTTATTTATTAAATTCAATATTATAAATCAAATTATCAAAAATTAAATATATCAAAATATATAAAATAATATACTTAATATAATAAAGTTAATAAACTAAAATTTAAATTTAATATTTTTAAATATAAAATATGATTATAAATTTATATTAATACACAAATAAAAAAACTAAATAGAAAATAAAAATAAAAATAAGCAGAAGGATCATTCGAGTCGTCGGAAAAGTCGTGAAGAAAGTCATCATTATTTTGGTGGTTATTATTTTGGCCACCATTATTAAAAATATTAATTAATCAACTTAATAATAATCCTAAACATATTGTTCTTGTTCTTATTACTACTAAAAATATACTATGTATATATACTATTAAACATAAACATATTCTTTTATTTTACTATTTTTAATATATAATATTTTTTATTATATACTATTAAATATACTATTAATATAGTTTATGAAATATATAATAATTAACATAATATTTTTTATTGACATATAATATAATTTTTATAAAACAATTTTTAATTATAAAACCGTTTTTATTAACATACATATAATATATAATAGTTAAATACATAAACCAATTTTTTATATATAATGTTTTATTGACATATAATGTTTTTTAACATACTATATTAATGTTTTATTGACATATAATATAGTTTTTATATAATATTTTTTAATTATAAAACCGTTTTTTGTTAATATATAATACAATTTTTATATAATTTTCTTAATTATAAAACAGTTTTTATTAACATTCTATATATATGATATATAAATATTTTTTATTAACATATAATAAAGTTTTTATATAATTTTTTTAATTATAAAACTATTTTTATTAACATTCTACATAAAATATAATATTATATTTGTTTTAAAAAAATATATTAACATCAAATATATACTGTTTTTTTTATAATATTATACTGTTTTTTATAATATTATACTGTTTTTTATATATGCATAATTATAAAAGAGTTTTAAAATAATAACATAAAATATTTTTTTTAATTATAAAACATATTTTATAATAATAACATTAAACAGTTTTTACTAAATATATACATATTAAAACACTTTTTTAAATATGTTTTTATTCAATACAAAAAACTATTTTTTTTTATATATGTTTTTAATCGATACATAAAATATTATATTATATTTGTTTTAAATAAAATATATATTAACATTAAAACTGTTTTTATAAAATTTATATATTATTCTGTTTTTTGTTTTGTTTTTTATAATAAATAAATTAAATAAATCAAGATATATAACTTATCATAATATATATTTTTGTTTATTAATAAATATTTATTTATATATATTTTTGTTTTTTAACCAGAAGTACCCATATAATATATATTCTCATTTTTTAAAATTATATTTAATAAAAATTACAATATTATAATTTAACCAAATTCAACCTAAAATCTAACTAAATTCAGAAAATATACCAAATGTAAAAAGAATTTTCAAGAAATACCTCTTCTCTTCTAACTCCTTCAATCTTCTTGTCCAACCTTTTTGCAATCTACTTCTACTATATCAATCTTCTTCTATTCAAAGAAAAATTAAAATAAATTACAATCACATAATGCAATAAATAAAAACTTGTAAACAAAATAGAAACAAAATTTAATTTAATTTACCTGAAAAACAAGGATTAATGGAGATTGAAGTTGAATTTTATGAAAAAGAAGAAGTTTTATAATGGAGATTGAGTTGGATTTTATGAAGATGAAGATTGGGATGGAATGAGAGAGGGAGAGCTGTGTTTGTTGAAAATATACTATTGTCTTGTGTTTGGTGTAACGTGATTTAATTAAACATATAAACCATTCAGCGACGTGAAAATCATGCCTCAACTTTTCCACGTGACTTTCACGTCGCAACAATGCCAACGATCATATTCTCTTTCTTCACATGCCTGCAAAAGCTGATCATGCCAGTCTGAATTAATTTGATTTTCCCTCTTAAATATTGCGACGTGAATACCACGTCACAATTGACTTTTTCAAAATTTCAAAAATCCCTCCATCTGAACGTTAGATCAATTAAAATATTTTATATTATATTTTTACTAGCGATGTGATTCCCACGTCGCAACATTTTTTTTAAAACTCAGACAACCATCATGCTTCTTTATTTTATTAATAAAACATGTTGCCACATGATTATCACGTCGCAACTGACTTTTTTTAGCCACATGATAATCACGTGGCAAAAACACGTGGCTAGAGATGATATTTCTTGTAGTGCTAGTATCTCTGTTTCAAATCACTACCTTACTTCTTCGTAACAAATCTTCATCTTTCTACAAAACTTTCAAAATTTCATCTTTCTCTTTGTTTCAAAGCATCTTTGTTGTGTTTCAAGTTGTTATGGGTTTCCAGACTGTTCAAGTATTAAGTTCTTCTTCTCATTCTAGGAGGAGAAGGATGCTCTATTACTACGGCTTGGAATCACCACTTGTGAGTGTGTGGACATCTCAAAATCCAGAGCAGAGTTTATTTGGACGTGGATTATACAAGGTACATTTAAAATCCTAATTCTTAGTTCTTATATTTATCTTATAAATTCACAAGTTTCTGTTTAATTTCTTACATTTAAAACCCTAATTTTTGTTTATTCAGCTACAAGGAAGGAAAAAGTGTTCCTTTATTGACTGGTATGATGAGCAATTTCTAGACTGTTCACAGGAAATGATTAACTCAGTATTAAATAAGGTTAATGATTTGAAGTAGAAGGATGGTTTAGCTAAGAAGATTGATGATAAACTCAAAAGGAAGATCAAGATATTGGTTATTTTATTGGTTTTTTCTTGGGCTTTGATCTTCATATTGATCACAACAAAGTTGAAAAGATGATGTAATGTTGTTGTAACCACCACTGGAATTAAGTTTTGATGTAATGGTACCATTGAGCTTTTGATGTAATGTTCAAATTGATGTAATGAAGTTAACAAATTATGTTATGTTCAAATTTATGTTATGTTATGTTCAAATTTATGTTATATGTTAAGTTATGTTCAAATTGATGTTATGTTATGTTAAAATTTATGTTATATGTTAAGTTATGTTCAAATTGATGTAATGAAGTTAACAAATTATGTTCAAATATAGTTATGAAGTTAACAAATTGATGTTCAAATTTAGATACTTTCAAAATCAAATTATGTTAAAGTTTAGTTATGAAGTTAACAAATCATCGTTATCATCTTGCACATAATCTTCATCTTCCACACTCTCATCCACTTGTACTTCATCATCCGACTTGATCTCAATTGGATCATGTACATATTCAACATACTCCCTTACTAGTTCTTCTGATATAACATCAAGTTCGTCTACTATATGTTTAACGTAGACATTATTAAGCTCATAATCATTCATGTCTTCCCCAAATTTCAAGACATTTGCATCATTGATAAGAGGTTTAAGTCCACACACAAATGAAAACTTCGGGTGATGATACCACATGCCTTTGATTCTTATGCAACCCAACTTGTTGATAACCTTGATAAAGTCCATGTAACACAGATAATCCACATCAAATTCCCAATTATTTTCTTCTACCTTTCCATTAACATAAATCTTGCAAGGATAATGAACATATTTTCCCCCATGATTAATCCTCAATCTAACTGAATTGTATCAGCTGGCTTATAAAACATACAAAAATACAGCATCTCGAAATGGGAACCAATAAAAACTCGATTTATAATCAATAATCAACTCAAAAAAATTCAGAACTGTAATTATTTAGTTCATTTAAAAAAAATACAGCATCTCAAAATGGGAATCAACAAAACCTGAGTTCACAACATAACTAGAATAAAACTTGTGATCTTCCTTTGTCCAAGAAGAAGGTTGGCCATAAGAGAACAACATTTCTGCCAGAGAAATCTATTTCAATTTAGGGTTTTCGAAGATCCTAACAAAATATTAAGAAATCAAAATTTAAGGTTTTTGTTTTACTTGGAAATGAAATAGTTGTTTTCCAAATACATCTCAAACGTAAGACTGAGAAATTGAATCTTCATCGCTATGCCTTAGACCACCTTCAACGGTGGTTTTTCAGATTGGTTTGCCAGCTTGGCATTGAAATTGTCAACAAAAAAGTTGTTCCAGATGATGAACGGTACAAATATAAGCAACGGTTCTTCATATTTTCTTATTATTAAAATAATCAATTAAAATTGTGGGACCCAATATAAAATTTAGTATGAATAAAATATTAATATACAAAGTAAAATTGCGGGACCCAATATAAATTCTTTAAAATTGCATCATTGGAGTGAAAAATGGAGTGAGTTACTTCAAGATGATGTGGCTTAATGAGTCCCACAAAGAACCCAAATATGAGTAGCACCGTTGAAGATGCTTTTAGTGTCTTCTTTATTCTTCCATTATTGTTCCCTGTATAGCGCGTTCTTTGTTTTCAAATGGGAGTGTTTTCTAAAAAAACTCTTTAAGTTTAACTTCAATTATAATTTTCAATTATTTTATGTTTAATTAATATATTTACAATATTTACAATATTAAATTATATTTAGATTGTCAAAATATGATCTGAAAAATAATTAAATTTATTCCCTTATACCACATCATACAACAACTAACACGTGTTATGAAAAAAGACACATAAGTATTGTTTTGGATTAAAATTAGAATAAGGAATCAAAACTGTTTAAAAAAAAATAAGAAAATTAAAATCGTGAAAAGACTAAAATAGAGAAACAAAACTGTAATTTAGTCAATAGTTTAATATACTAGAATAATTCTTTTAACATTAACTTGATATCTATCTTTACAAGAACTCTTTTAACATTGACTTTATATTTATCTTTATTCTTAAACTATGTATAATAACTAAATAATGTTTATTTGAGAAGATAAATTATGAAGAACTAAAAAACAATGAAAAAAAAATAAGAAAGCTTACTTGCCGAGAAAATTAAAATACATCTAGAGTAAAATTTATAAAAGTGTCCAAAATTTTCATGCCATGAATTTACTTAAAATAAATATCGCTTTAACTTTAAAGGAAAATAATATCAATCTGTTTTTTTAAAATGCTTTATGAGAAGGATCTTTATGGAAAAACTAGACTATGATTTCTATTGCTTGCTCTGAGCCAGGAAGTCATTGTATCGTTGAAGCCTTGTAGATCAGTCTCTGTTAGAGTATATTGTTTAGGCTTGTGTTTTGGGCTGTTAGTTGTTAGGCTCAACTTTTTTTTCTTCTGTTTGGATTATTTTATATACTCCCTATGTACTGTTACATTGCTTTAAACTAACAGATAATACAGTTACGCTCTTTATCTTCTTTCTCTAACAACTTTTCAAGAATCAAAGATGAACTTCAAGATTCATCTCTAATATGGTATCAATCGCGTCGATCATCTACGCTTCTGCTATCCATCATCTTCAATCAAGATTCATCGCTCCAAGCCGAGAAAAAGCTCCTTCCGTGAAAGCTTCTCCAGGTCCATCAATGGCGTCCTCCGGAAATGACGAGTCTGTGATCAAAGATCATGAAGTCTCCACCATTCTTGCGACAAACAAATTCGGCAGTGCTTTTGAATCAAAACTTTCTATTAAGCTGCAGGAAAATAACTATCTACTCTGGAATCAACAAGTCGAAGGAGTAATCCTCACTCAGAAGAGGCGCAGACTTGTGGTTAATCCACAAATTCTGCAAAAGTACAAAACCGAACAAGATTGTATCTCAGGTACGTTCTCTGAAGAGTATGATGCTTGGATCGTTCAAGATCAAGCAGCCTTCATATGGTTATTATCTACAATTTTCAATTCCGTTCTTCCTAGGATTCTTGCTCGCAAACATGCATTTGAAGTTTGGGATAAAATCCATCAATACTTCAACGCTCAGATGAAAGCCACAGTTCGTCAACTGCGAATATAATTGAAATCTGTCAAGAAAGGGAACACATTTGTCACTGAATTTGTGATACGCATCAAAGTTATTGCCAATTTATTACTTGTTGTTGGTGATCACATCACTGAACAAGACCAGATTGACTCCATCCTCAATGGACTTTCAGAAGAGTACAATCCTTTTGTTATGCAGATGTATGGATGCCATGTTCCCCCAAAACTCTATGAAGTTAAAGCTCTGCTCTATGTACAAGAAACACAACTCAATAAATTTAGTCAAGAACTAGCTGCTAATACAGGGTCTGCAAATATGGCTCATACTGGTCAAAAGGAAGGAAGTTACAGAGGCAACCATTCAGGGAATCAAGGAAAGGGACACAAATTCGGTCGTGGCCGTGGGAAAGGAAAACCACATCTAACACTGGAAATCGTCCAACCTGCCAACTGTGTGGCAAATATGGACACTCTGTCTCCACTTGCTGGCACATATTTGATGAGAACTCCAGGCCACAAGATTCAATTGATGCTCAGCCTGAACCTGCAAACAAAGCTTCTCATAATCAAAGTTATACAGCACAATCTGCACACAAACTACAAAGCCATGGCTATGATGGCAACTACACAGGAGTACTCTCTTCCTTCTGATTTGGAATCTCATGCTTGGTTTGCTGATTCAGGTGCCTCTCACCACCTAACTCCTTATGATTTTCACTTATAACACATAAAACCTTGTACTGCTTCCAATTGTGTGTATGTTGGGAATGGTCAAACTCTAACCATACATTCCATAGGATTCTCTCAGTTTTATTCTTCTATTAACCCTAATTATAAGTTAAAACTGTCTAATGTGTTTCATGTTCCTACTATCACTAAGAATATGTTATTTGTCTCAAAGTTCTCTAGTTATAACCATGTTGTTTTTTAATTTTATTCCGGCAAATGCTACATAAAATGTCAGGCTTCTAAACAAACACTTGTTGAAGGAGCTCTTGATGCAAATGGTCTTTACTGTTTTCCTCAACTTCACTTGGAGCCAACACATTCTCACATCCAGAATAACAATTTATACCCTGGCACTGCTGTACAAAGCTTTGTTGCTTCCAATCCTATTTCTCAAAATCCTAACTCATGTAATAATAACACTCTTTGGCATCACAGACTAGGTCATGCCAATTTTAATTCAGTTGCTTCTATACTCAAACAGTGTAATATTAGTACTTCTAACAAACAAAGTTCTGAAGTTTGTAATTCCTGTCAAATTGGAAAAGCACATAAATTACATGCTCCTAGTACTACTACTATATACAAAGAGTCATTTGATGTTATTTACACAGACTTGTGGGGTCCCTCCCCCAATCCCTCTAGTTCTGGATTTAGATATTACATAGCTTTTGTTGATGGAAATACTAAATACACCTGGCTATATTTCCTTAAACAGAAATCAGAAGCCATACATTCCTTCAAACTTTTTCATCAGTTTGTGTCTACTCAGTTTAATATCAAGATTAAGTCTGTTCAATCTGATTTTGGTGGAGAACTCAGACCTTTCAAAAAATACCTGTCAGAGTTAGGGATAGTTCATAGGTTAACTTGTCCTCATACATCTCATCAAAATGGTTCAGTTGAGAGGAAACATAGGAAAATCGTGGAAATAGGTCTCACCCTGTTATCTCACCCCTCCATCCCTCTAACATATTGGGATCACAGTTTCACCAGTGCAGTTCACATTATAAATAGACTCCCTACCACTGCCTTATCCACATTTTCATCTCGCTTTCAAGCCTTGTATGACAAGCAATAAAGCCTTAAGAGTCTTTGGTTGTTCTTGTTTTCCATTTCTAAGGCCCT